GACTAAGCGGAACATCTTCACTATCAGATAGAGAAATGAGAGGTTTCTAGACCCTCTCCAAGATGACTGGCAATAGGGCAGTTTCTATAGAAATTATTTTTGGATTATTTGCAGAGGTGGAGGACTTTGTCTTCTTATGAATGAGAGGGGTTTCCTCTATATCTGGCTCATCAATAATCATAGCCAAAGACACATTGACATCTTCCTGGGAGGTTTTGGTTTTCTTGGAAGGTTGAGAGGCAGAGTCATGAGTATCTATGACAGATTACAACAATTTTTGAGAAGAGGCTATTTGACTTTTCTTTTTTCATTCATCTAACAAGACGGTTTTCCATTTGTTAGAAGAAGCAGGGGGAAAGAAAGTGATTTTGAAAGTTTTCTTCTTGCGACTTGAAGGAGTTTTAGTAATGCGTCTACTGTCGAAACAGAGCCTAGACAAATACTCCTCTAGAGAATCAACAAAAAGTAGTGCTGAAATATTCTACCACCACTCCAAGAAAAAAAAAGAGACGAGGATGGGTTAGAACTAAAATGAAGAATTGGAAAGTCTGTAAAAAAATTTCATAAGCCTTAGAAATTTGGATAATTAAGGCATCAGACTTTACTTTTAGCCTCTCACCTGTAGGCTCATCGATAGAAAGATGCACGTAAGGCAAATGAATATTTTGAGTTAAGCCAAATTGTCTAACAAATTGGCTAGGATTGTAGCTTTCAAAATTGCACTTAGAAAATTTAGAGGAAGACACAGAACCCCTGATATGAAGGTATCGAGGCAATGTGATTCTGTAGCCTCTTCTAAGAAAGTATTTGGATCATAAAAAAAAAGGCCTAAAAAGGGAAGCAAGGTAGAGAAAATTAGAAAATGGAGTGTACAGAGCATCATCTCAATCTAAAGAAAGGTTGAAGAAAGTGTTGAAGTAACAATTAAAAGTCTTTTTAGTATAAAAAACTAAGATAGAAAGGAATCGATAGACATAATTCAAATGAATGAATTTAGGATTAGGCAAGGTAGTAGAGGGCCAAACATCTAGAAAATAGGCATAGAGCCAAGCTTGAAAAAGCCAGAAAAGACCCCCATAGCTAGCAGTGATCCTATTCTCGGTAAAGTTAAAGAGGCACCTATACAATGCACCCAAGAGAAAAGGGGCTAAGGCAAGTTTTTTATTTCTAGCCAATTGATGGCTATACCAATATACTCTCGGGTTACTTTGAACACAGGGATACATAAAACAAATTGACACAACTAGTGAAGAAGAAAAACAACGTGTTCTGCGAATGATGAAGTAGAGGATTGAGAAGTGAAAAAATGGTTGAGGAGATCATTATACCCTACGCTAAAGGGGATAATGAAGAAATCGCGACTAGAGTCAGTAGAAAGATAGGCATTCACCTCTACACTTGTCAATGGAAGCCTAGTTAAAAAGATAACATCCAAAATTGTTGGGGACATCATGCTTACAGAAAAAAGTATGGCGTTACACAATTGCGACCAGGAGCATACAATAGTACCAATTAGCCATCGGTTCATATGAAGGTCTTGGGTGGAAAGCTTGATCATTATGAAAATACCCAATCTTCTTCATTGAGGGGCATAGAGAGCTTTCATCTTAGTGATCCAATCAACCCAATGCTGGTCAGTGTTGGTCCAGGATTGGAGTGAGTTTGTTCCTTGGTTCAATAACTTCCACGAAAGTTTTGATTGGTTTAGCATTAGGGTTTCACCTTCATGAATAAGATAATAATCAAAAAACCCCTCACAAACATACTGTAACGACAAATTTTGTGAATAAATTAACACAAAATAAGCTCAATTTAAAATAGTCAATTTGATTGACTTTAAGTAAAAAAAGTAGTGCTGACTCTCTTCGGCGTGCTTCTCACGTGCACTGGCCTCTAATTCTCGGTGAATTTGATAAAAATGATGAATTTGGTGAAGATGATGAATTTGGTGAAAATGAGGGCCTGATTGGCGTATTTCTCGCTCTTCAATTGGTGGCTTTGATGAAAACGAGAGTTGGATCAATGTATCTCCTGCTCTTCAAATTGATGATGCTTTTGATAAATCTTCTCACCGTTCTTTATTTGGAATGGTTTGAAGATGATTTGAATTTTTTGAAAAAGGACTTTGGTGGTGTGTTCTTCTTCTTTGAGATGAATTTGCAAGGCTTTAGTGAACTTTGAGCAGAGTATCGCTGATCTTCCTTCCTCCTTGACTTCCTCCCCCTTTTCTCTTCAACTAGACCTCTATTTATTGTGCTAATAGTAGTTATTCATATAAGAGTCCTTTTTTACTCTTATATGGGCTTTAGGTAGTGAGCTACCTATAAATTTGCAGATATTAATTAATTTATGAAATTTAAGTCCAACACATTTTACCTTTTGAAAGTTTATTTAATTTGGGCCTATGAAATTTAAGTCCATTTGAATTTAACAAGCTTGATTAATTGTATTTGAGCTTGTATTATTTAGGCTATGGAATTTATGTCTAGTTTAATTTAATTTAATAAGTCTTGTTAATTAAATTTGGGTTTGTATTATTTAGGTTACGAAATTTAGGTTCAATACAATTTTATTTATCTAATTGATTTGAGCTCAATTATAGACATTAATTTGTTAATTAAAATTTTAATGTCTACACATACGATATAAAGGAAGGACCTAGAGCAAAAACCCCACTAGAGTTGGGGGTAGGGATTAAAGCCCTTGGGTCTACAGATTCGTTGGTAGTTTGCTTAATTTCAAGGAAGAACCTCGGCAAGAAAGGAATCTCAGAGGCAATTGAAGATGAAGAATTTTGCTTCTTGGGAGTCATTAAGGATCAACAAGAATGAAAGAGAAAAATTGCTAGAGGCCGTTTTTTTTGACAAGAAGGAAAACAGACAAAGGAAATTCAGTGAACAGTTCAATTGCAAAAAGATTTAAAACATACATTTAAAGAAGGCAACGACAATAACTGTTCATTTACTTGAGTTAATTAAGAATAAAACTCAATTAAATGAGGGGGCATTGTTTGGATATAAAATACAAAATTATGAAACCATTCGATGCATGTATAGTTGACAAGCCTAAAAACATTAAAAGATTACCACATGCCAAGGTTTCTAGAAAATGTAGCAAGCAACCAACCACAGCTCTGGTTTGAAATGGGAAATAACTGTCTGGGAATTACGAAACTAAATAACCGTCAATGAGGGAGAAATTGTCGAGAAGAGTGGCTATAAAAGAGGGAAAGAAAGAAGCCGAAGGACAACTCAAACCCCTCTCCCTACAAGACCCATGATCAGGGCATTTAAGAGTAGTGCTAGAGTTAGTTTTGAGGAAGTAATTAATGTTGTAATAAAAAACTGTTAAATTAGCGACTCTGTATCTGAAACTCATTCAATTGAATTGATAAAAGAGTTTGCTTTTATTGATTCATTATTTTGTGTGTCTATCGCTTTAAGAATTCATTTAAGGAAGTCCTAAAATAAGGCATTAGAACTCATTTAGAAACAATCGCTTGAGAACTGTCTGTTATTAAAGTATTTTTGTCGATTGCAACAGATACCTTACTCATTTATATATGAACAGATTAGACGAGTTAATGGGTAATAGATTAAGATTGCCACTTTTAACGACAAGCAAACTGGTTTTGGATTAAACAAGTCTGTGAAGTATGGTTTAGCCTTGTTTTTCCTTACCTGAAACTATAAAAGTCCCCTAGCTATAAGCCAACCTTTTAATTGATCACCTTACATTCTTTGACCGAGTAAAATGGTCCCAATTGGTATCCCACATCAGCGTGGCTACTATCTTACGAGGGTGAAGATTAAACAAAGAAGCAAATATCGTAAAAATACAAGTAGTAATGGTGAAGATTAAAAAAAGAAGCAAATATCGTAAAAATACAAGTAGTGATAGGACAATTAGCAAGGTATCAAACACTGGTGTGCAAAATCTCTTTCGATTTTTGCTAATTTTGTTGTATCCAATGGAAGCTTTTGAGCCTGTGATTCCACATAAAGATCCAATCATATATGCCATTCTGCATAATTACAAGTGCAAGAAGATATATTATATCCATTCATTCTCACTTAAATAAAGACTAGAATGTAGTCGTCCACATATCAGTGACTCATATCAAACTGAAGTTTCATTCTGTCATATCATCCTCTTTTACAATTTTGATTGCCTTCTTTCGTTCTTATGCATTAGTATCTAGTTTGATTAAACAGTTTCAACACTAACTTCTCTCTTTGTCTTCGTCTTGGGATTTAGGAAGAGTCAGATGTATCAAATTTATCTCTATTAATAGATTATTTGTTTTTGTACTTTGAACTCGAAATGTCCAAATTATAATAGAATAATCTTATGATTTTATCATATTGAAATAACAATATAAAAAGAATAGTTCAACATATTATATTTCTCTCGTAGTCGTTGCCGTGGTGTTGAGGAGAGTTAAATTTATGCACTCTTATCCTTGTTAGCGGAAAAATTGATTCCATATTTTAAATTTGCAAACATTCAAATCATAATAGAATAATCTTACCCACTAAATTATAATCCGCCCCGCTCAATATATTTGCCAAAATTATCATGTTTGTTCAGGTGAGAGAATTCATTAATATTGGCATTAATAGGGGGCCGTCTTCAAACACAGTGAGATTAAGTCACATAACCTCAATGAGAACATATAACTACCTTGATTCTCTTAAGAGTCTCTCGGTTAAGAAGTCTCAGGTGAGCTCATTGTCTCTTTCTTTTGGGTTTTCTGTCAACCATTTGAAGGTGATTTTTTTCTCAATTATAGATGCATTATTATAAATTATAATAATTGTTATTTAGGGTAATAATATATATAAAAATATACATAGCCGTCCACATGATGTAGCCCTTAGAACATATATACTTGTCGTACTGTGAATGAGACTTTCTATAAATAGCTCTTTGTTATGCCAGTTTATTCCAAATCTGCACTGCTCTTCATTGGTAAGCTTTCGTAGAGAAGAAACTAGCTGATGGCACCCCAACCCCATCCCTCTCGTCTAGCCATAGCATTACTCTTTCTCTTCTTTCCACTGGCGGCAATTGCAGATAAAGGGACTGCGACCTTCTACACACCTCCATACTTTCGTAAGGCACTTGCAATTTTCAGCTGTCGAGAATTAGGATAAAATTTTCTTGCCCTTGTAAATGTTAAGAGTTTTGACTTTCTATTGCTTAAAAACTTAAGCTGTTAGAAGATGAACCCGATAAAATATATCACACACTTAGTAATCTATATCCCTCATGTGTGTTTTTTGCAGCTGTTTATCTGATCCTTTCATACACGTGAAGGAGTTAAACAACTCGATGTCGCACAAGCAAGTAGAACCAAAGCCATGTGCAGTTGGAGAGACTTGGACCCTATACTTTAAGAAATAAAATTTTTGATACCATGTCAAACAAATAGTTACGACTTCAGCCATTTTGGAGAATAAATCCGATAATACATATAGTATTGGCCTAACTATGGCATTGAAGAGTAATTTTTCGGTATCATACGGCCATTTTTGAATAATAAAAACATGACACGCGAAATTTTTTTATTTTATTTTTTTTGTTTCACTTATTTTACTAGTTTCATAATTAATCGTTGCAAATATATCAAATCAAGAGATCTACAGCCACTAATCACTTTCAGTATTGTACAATTTTTTTTGTGGGTTATTTACAAAATGTCCCCTTAAATTATGGGTCTCGTTTCAATTAGTTTCATCTGATTTCAATTTCCACAATTGGCCCTCTTCAAGTCTTAATAAACCCTGATTGTTTCACAGACTTATCCATATATATGATACGTTGAGTATAACATATGGTTTATGTCACTCATTTTATGTTGTTGGATGGCTTAGAAGACCTAATCAAGTTCCATCAATCACCTTGAATCAATGAGTCCAACAATAATTTACAGACTTTACTAAGTTGGAGAGAGAACCTAGGCTATTTTTATGAGATAAAGCAAGTACATTTCTTATGTTCAATATCCATTAGGGTTAGAGCAGAGAATCAAAGATCACAATCTTTTTTTGTTTTTTGTTTTTGGTCACCATTATCTGGAATTATTGGCGATGCAGCTTCTTCCTGTGATGGAAATAAAGATGAAGGCGTGATGATTGCTGCTGCAAGCGACGCAATTTGGGACAATCGAGCTGCGTGTGGAAGAAGGTACAATGTTAAATGCATTGGTGCAACCAACAAGGGTGTCTCCCACCCCTGCAATGGCAACTCTGTCGTCGTGAAAATTGTCGACTACTGCCCATCACCTGGATGCCAAGGCACCATCGACTTATCAAAAGAAGCTTTTGCTTCCATTGCCAATACTGATGCAGGCAAAATAGTTATCTCCTTCGAGCGGTAGGTAGTTTTTGTTTTTCCCCCTCCTGTTCATGCCCTTCATATTTGTTTTACAAGGACTAGAAGAAGAGAGAAATTAATTAAGAAGGGCAAATCCAAAGATATATTGGTTTGGAGTAGCAAGAAGAACATGCCAGTGTATATATATATATATACACACATGTTCTTTGGTACTCTATAAAATATAGATGTAATGTTTGTATGTCGGATTATTATTCATATATGTTTTTTTTTTTTGTTCTCTCATGCAGCTTATGAAGTGCCAAAGAATGGTTATGGTCATGATCAGACTGGGGTAATAGAATGCTGCTTCATGGGATGTATTCATGAAGTTTTCCACTGAAATAAATGTTATTTCTACTTATCTTGTAAAACATGTCCGTTTTATAAAAGCTTTGAACTTGTGATGAATCTTCTCTCTTTATGAATACTAAAAAACTGTGTGGCTTTGGTTTTGTGTATGTGAATGTGACTTTCTGTATCAAATCAGTTTGGTTTTGTAGAATTTAATGACATTTATGCATCAATAGGGAGGATTATAATTAATGTAGATAATTTTTAAAAATAATTACAGATTATTGGTGGCGACTTGCTTGCCAAATTAAGGCAAATATGTTTTTCCCATGCAAAACCGTAATAAAAAAGAAAGATTTTAATAATAAATATAATGGATTGCATAATTATTTGGAATATAAGAAAATTTGATGCAATTTCAAAGGAAAGTTTGCTTGAGATTTAAATTTGGTCCTGTGTGTATAATGGGCAATCACAGTTGGTGAAAACTCAGCAAATCATGAAGACAGCTCCAACACAGCCAAAGAATTAGTGTATTATTAAAGACTAGTGCTGCTCAGAATTGATTGTCCAGGCAGGCAGGCAGGAGCTAGCTTGTGAAAAACGTTAGGTGATTGTTACCAAATATGATAAAATCAAGGGGGTTTCCCAGTTTGGTGAGATTTTAATAAATCCAAACTGGCATGTACTGTAATAAACATAATTATAAAGGGCATATTAGTCAGCATGCAAACAGAGATTATGATGATGTCTTTAGTTGATTCACTATAATCAATGCATGGGTTGGGTGGGGAATGTTAAAAGAATCACACTCAGCACTGGGGTCCACTTCTCTTTTATACACCTCAGGCTTCTCCGCCACGTCAGCATATCTATGTTCAACTGGTTATTGATAGCAACCACCGTTATTTATTTCTCTCAAATGTCTCAAATTAATAAAAAAAAATATTATTATTTGAAAATTACGGAGAATAGATTTTCAACATTGCAGAAGTTCTTTTTTTTTTTTTTTTTTTATTTCCTATTATATAAACACCAATGTGACAAAATTAAAGCAGAAATTGAAAAAAATGAAGGCAAAGAAATTATAAAAAGCAACCGTGAATCTCATTGGTTATTATAAGTTTTTACATAATAAATTCAAACTCAACAAATGAATTTCTATATAACTCTGTAACTCTCCGCCTAAAACTATGGCATGTGGCACTGTTAAAAAGACCTTTATGCCCTGGCATTAAAAACAATGTGACCCCACACATGTGCCAACTGTTGTCTGTTCTGTTGTATTCAATTTCCAATTTCCTTGATCTCTTAGACTCCCTCGCTATGGAAACCTACGGCCTTTTCACCCCCTTCCCCCTCTCTCTCTCTCTCTCCCCCCCTTTCTCCTCCCCTCCATCTCCGCCGCTCTAGCTGCCCCCATTAAAAAAAAAACTCATTCTCCCACATTCTCTCTCTGCAAAAAAACACGCATTTTCTTCACCCACCATCGTCCGCAAATGCCCACTTAAAACCCTAACACAACACCCAATAAATACTCTATTTTTGAAAATTTACTTTCATTTCTATCGACGATTTTCTTGCACTGTCTTGTGAAGATGAACAAACCCCATCTGGGTTTTGTCTTTGTTTGTATGTTCTCTGTTTTTCTCTCTGTTCGCTCTCAGTCCAGTGCCACAGATGCTTCAGTAATGCAAGACCTCAAGAGAAGTCTCAACCCATCGAGTTCACTCGGCTGGACTGATCCAGACCCATGTAACTGGGAAAATGTTCACTGCGCTAACGACAAAAGGATTACGAAGATCCAAATAGGGCGTAAAGAGCTCACTGGGTCTCTCCCTTCAAACCTCAACAACCTCACTGCTCTAAAGGTATTGGAAGTTCAAGTGAATCAACTCACTGGGCCACTCCCAAGTTTGTCCGGGTTGAGTTCACTCCAAAGCATCGTCCTCAGTGACAACAATTTCTCAGCCATACCCTCTGATTTCTTCAATGGTATGACTTCTTTACAATCAGTTATTCTCGACAACAATTTCTTCACTTCATGGGCTATACCAGAGAGTCTCAAAAGTGCTTCAACTCTCCAAACTTTCTCGGCCATTTCGGCTAATATTTCCGGGAAAATCCCTGATTTTCTTGGCCCTGATATATTTGTTGAATTGACAAACTTGCGTTTGTCTTTCAATTATCTTGAAGGTGGACTGCCCTCGAGTTTTTCAGGGTCTTCCGTTCAAACTTTCTGGTTAAATGGCCAGAAAGGTATTTCTAAGTTGAATGGCACAATTGATGTTCTACAGAACATGACAGAATTGTCTGAAGTTTGGTTACATGGAAATTCATTTTCTGGCCCTTTACCGGACTTTTCTAAGTTGAAACAATTGCAGAATTTGAGTTTGAGGGATAATAGGTTTACTGGTCCAGTACCTGCCTCTTTGGTAGAGCTTCCTTCGCTTAAGGTTGTTAATCTAACTAATAATATGCTACAAGGACCAACTCCAAAGTTTAACTCCTCTGTTCAAGTAGATATGAATAGTGGGACTAATAGTTTTTGTTCAAATGATGCTGATGTTGATTGTGATCCTCGTGTGAATACTTTGCTTTCCATTGCGGAATATGTGGGTTACCCAACTACGTTTGCGGAGAACTGGAAGGGTAATGATCCATGCACGCCCTGGTTCGGGTTAGCTTGTACTAGTAGGGATATAACTGTGGTGAATTTTCCAAAAATGGGTCTTAGCGGCACAATTGCTCCTAACTTCTCCTCAATCGCATCATTGCAAAGATTGATTCTAGCCAGTAATAATCTTACGGGTACTATTCCAATTGAGCTTACCACTTTACTTAACCTTAAAGAATTGGATGTTTCGAACAATCAGCTGTATGGTAAAATTCCATCATTCAGGAGCAATGTGCTTGTGAAAACTGATGGCAATGTCAATATTGGGAAGGATACTCCTCCTCCAACAGCACCAGGGACACCTACGGATAATAAACCAGGCTCATCTGGGGTTGGTGGTACAAATGCTCCTGGAAATGGTGGCAAGAAATCTTCTCCGGGCATGTTTGTTGGTTCAATTGTTGGTGGTGTTTGTTGTGCTGCTGTTTTGTTTGTTGTGTTATTTGTCTGGGTTTACAGGGCCAAACGTAAGCGTTCTGGTGGTGTACAGTATCAAAATACCATGGTGATTCATCCCCATCATTCGGGCTCTGATGATGCTGTTAAGATCACGGTGGCTTCAAGTGTTTATGGTGGGGCAAGTGAAACTTACAGTCATGGAAGTAGTGGACCAAGTGACATTCATGTTGTTGAGACAGGAAACATGTTGATTTCCATCCAAGTTCTGAAGAATGTGACCAACAATTTCAGCGAGGAGAATATATTGGGAAAAGGTGGATTTGGAGCTGTTTACAAAGGGGAGCTGCATGATGGGACCAAGATTGCTGTTAAGAGGATGGAGTCTGGAGTCATGAGCGAGAAGGGTTTGGATGAGTTTAAGTCTGAAATTACTGTCCTAACTAAGGTTCGACACAGGCATTTGGTTGCACTTCTAGGGTATTGCTTGGATGGAAATGAAAGGCTACTTGTTTATGAATACATGCCTCAGGGGACTCTCAGCCAGCATCTGTTTAACTGGAAAGGAGAGGGGTTGACGCCACTTGAATGGACAAGAAGGCTGATCATTGCGTTGGATGTGGCCAGAGGTGTTGAATATCTACATGGTTTAGCGCAACAAAGCTTCATTCACAGGGATTTGAAACCATCAAACATTCTTCTGGGAGATGATATGCGGGCTAAAGTTTCTGATTTTGGACTTGTGCGTCTTGTTGATGGTAAAGCTTCAGTCGTGACAAAACTAGCTGGAACTTTTGGGTATCTTGCACCTGAATATGCAGGTAACATGTTTTAGCTCCTATCTTAATTATAGCTTTCGCAATTGCTGTGCTTTTCCTTTACATACTTCGAAATAATTAGGAAGTTAGTTGTGCATGAAATGACGAGAACTTGAAATCTCTCGGCGATAATGAGCAGGATAACAATAAGAAGAACCAGTGAAACGAGATCTACTCGGTACATACTATCAAAAGCCGGGGGCAAGCAGCAAATTATGAATATACACTTGATTTTTTGAAAAACTGATGTTAGCTTCTGAGACTCAGAAAAAGCGTGAGATATTTTTATTTGCATAGTATTAAGTGGTCTCTTTCCCTGAAGACATTAATTTGATATAATCTGTGAAATAGTCTTTATAGAATCAGAAGAGAATGAGATGTTGACATTGTAAGCAGAGATGACGAGATGAAATGCAAAATATGAATTGATATCACCAAATTATGACCTTCCCGCATCTTCCATCTGACCAAATAATCTGCTCCTTTTCTTAATTGTTTCTTTGCGGATTTTTGTTGCACTGTGCTGCATTCAACTTATTTTCCACTTCACAAACCTGAATTACTGAGTTGTTATCATTGTGTTTGTCGATCATGTTTATGTTGGTAGAGTAGGTTTCAGGTGTGTGGTTACTCAGCTTACGATGAGACTGTTTCATGCATCTTAAATGATGTTTGCTTAACTACGGAGGACTTACAATTTCAATAACATTGCATTTCAAAATATTGATTTTGGCTAGTAATAGGGACCTTGTCGTCTTGTTAGTGTTTCATATCTCTGCTTTGGAAATTTTTAGAAAATGCTGTAGTGGTTTATGCTTTTTGAATGTTTAAGCTATTCGACTTTATTGATCATATTTTCTTTTTCAAGGTTTACCAGATTCTCATCAAACATTCAAGCATATAGAATATAGTATTTCTAATTTGTCATACTCAATAAATGAATTCTCTTCCTGACTCTAAGATTGAAATGTACTTGTGGCTGGACAGTGACGGGACGAGTGACCACTAAGATTGACGTGTACAGCTTTGGAGTGATTCTAATGGAGCTGATTACAGGAAGAAGAGCGCTAGATGAAACCCAGCATGAGGAGAGCATGCATCTTGTTCCATGGTTCCGTAGAATGAACCTCTACAAGGACTCATTCCAAAAGGCCATAGACCCGGTGATTGATCTGGATGAGGAAACTTTTGCTAGTGTCACCACTGTTGCTGAGCTGGCTGGCCACTGCTGTGCAAGGGAACCCTACCAGAGGCCCGATATGGGCCATGCTGTCAATGTGTTGTCATCTCTCACTGAGCTCTGGAAACCAGGAGAACCTGATCCTGAAGACGTTTATGGAATCGATTATGATATGACATTACCACAAGTGGTCAAGAAATGGAAGGCTCTTGAAGGAGTTAGCGGCATTGATGGTTCTTCATCTTATCTTGGTAGCAACAACAAAACCCGAGTTAGCAGCATTGATTGTTCTTCATCTTATCTTGCCAGCAGCGACAACACCCAAACCAGCATACCTACTAGGCCATCTGGTTTGGCAGATACATTTGCATCAGATGATGGACGGTGAAGAAACAGGATCAATGGACAGTAGGGTTCTTGTTAATGGCTGGCTCATCAGAGGTTTGGTTTGTTAATGTTATTTGTTTCTGCCTTGCTTTTCTCCTTTGTGGTGGTTCTTGCAAGGTTTATTAACCTTTCCTATACTTTTGGGGAGTTTCTTTTGCCCTTGTAGATTGGATAGCTTTTACTTCCCTCCTTTTTCTGCCTAGAACTTCAGAGGTGCAAATAGATAGAATTATTTTCAATAGAGATGTTGCTTTGTTGATTGCTTTTGGTATTGCATTATAACTACCTTGCTGCTCTCTAGGGTTTGGATTATTGCCATGGTCAATTTAGGAGATATGTTTTTACTAAAATCAGTTTGATTTGTGTATCTGATAAGCCCAATTGTTATGTCAAATTTGCATCAACTGTGTAGCTGAGCATGACCAATCACATTTGTGGCATATGGTGTGGCCTTATTGGGCAGCAAAGTTAAAAAAGAAAAAAGAAAAAAGAAACAAAAGAATGGTGGGCCCACGTTTATTTATGATAATTTGGAAGGGTATTGAGTCGACCATAAAAACATAATCAAATGCTAAAAGGATAAACTTACATATTCCATTGTTTTAAGGATATTGGTCTTACAAGCATGTCCAAATGATGGTAACCAATCCCAAAGTTTAGTTTGTGAGACTCTACAGCTAGCTTATCATCACCAACTGAATGTCGGCTAGAATAATATTTATTTATTTATACACTAATAAATACCTGGGTGGCTCCACCACATGTCTTTATCATTCTCATCTATCCATTATATTAATATTATAGTCTCTTGCGGATTTGGTGCAGATAATTTGTGGTTTGGTTCACAATGCTGATTTCTTTTTCCTATTTTCCTGAAACCTAGCCCCAAATTCTGGATCTTTTTAATCACTTCGAACTGCCCCTAGCTCAATGACCAAAGAAACCCCCATTCTGTTTTTTATTTATTATTTATGAACACACGTAAACGAATATATATATATATATATATATATATATATATATATATATATATGCATATTTTGAACATACTTTATTCAACATTACGCTCACAAGAGCCGAAGAAGTCCAATGAGCCTAGGTCCAAAACACTACCTCCAAAATGGCCTAAACTTTAGAAGTGTGGGTGAGAGCTTATCTTTTTTTTAATGAACACACATAAGGAGGGGATATATACATATTTTAAATATAATTGTATTTTTTATTATGACAATTTTTTTTTTGGGACGATGAATTAGGGGTTAAGTGGAAACAATCACAAGTTCACGGATCGAGATTCTCTCCATACATTTTTATTCACTTTCACTCAATAATAAATTACGCTTATATGAATTCAATGGAGACTCATTATCATACAATATAAGTGATTTATCGTTGAACCGAACAAAAATGTAATAAAAATTATCTGAATAGCTAGAAAGTAGCCAAATTTTTCCGGGATTGTACACTTGTTGCACCCTTGTTTGGGTTGAAGTTATTTTCTATGTTTTAGTTGACGAATGCATTCCTTAACGTGGCAGATGGTAACATGCGACTCACTTTTCAATAGAGTTGTTACGAGTGGGGCAAGTTTGTCTCTAGACTCCTTTTTTTCCTTGGAGAGAAATGTTTCAAATCCATCAACGTTAGCTTAACATGGGTTTTCATCTATTACCTTGACTTCTTTTCCCACCCATGTGTTAGAAAACTTTCTTTTCAAAATTCATGGACTTTCAATTAATTATATGAATTGAACAATGACACTACCAATGTATGTTTTCTCTCTTGAAATGAGAGCTCTCTACCCTCTCTAGGGTCTTCCTCTGAGATGGTTTCCTCAGTTTTCATACATGGGTAAATCCCCAAAGTCTTTCTCTTTCCCAAGGTGCTGGTCTCATTGGAGAAGATTAATCGGAGGTCCAAGGGTGGAGTCAGGATTTTTGTTTATCCCGGGCTAAGTTAAACATTCATACAACTAACAAAATACAAATGTAAACTCATAAACATATATACAATAATACAAATGTAAAATCATAAACACTTATTAATGAAATTGGACTCTTCGATCCTTCCTAGAACAAAAGGTATCTATTATTGAATCTGTATAGATTGCTTCCGTTATTTTTCTTTCAATGTAAACAACTAATGAATTAGTCAAATACTCATCTTCTATCTTGTTACGAAGAGTACTTTTGACATGTTTTATGGCTAAAAATGCTCTTTCTGAAGTTGCCGTAGAAATGGAAACAACTAAAATAAGATGAATCAACCTATTAGTCAAATTGTAGAACTTTGCCTTATTTGTTTCTATTAAACCACGACATAATTATGAAATTGTAGACATACTTTAAAACCTCTCATGGCGAACCACATCAAATCAATAATGATCCATTTGACATTTCAAATGATGCATGTCGGCGAACCACATCAAATCAATAATGATCCATTTGACATTTCAAATGATGCATGTCTTGTCTGTCAAAATCAGCTTCATAAAACTTCTTAGCAAGTAAACAAATGCGATCAGGATTGAAAGATTTAAAGTTGTCCCGATGATCTAAAGTAGAGCTAAGCATAAGTAATTCCATTGTCTCTTCATTGAATCTACTGTGTAACTCTTCTAACTGATGATCAATCGTAGAGTTAAAATATGTCTTATGTGATAGTGATGATCAACTAAAATTTTATCATTCTGTTGACATGAACGTCTTGACCCTTTGTACTGAGTACTCATATCAGGTATATCGACATCAAATTTCATGCAAATTGATTTTACATGGTCAAGGAGATTATCAAAACCTTCAGCTCGCAAGGTTTGAAGCAATGATTTTGTCGATGAGACTAAATTCATTGCATTTAAAATATCTAATGATTTATGCTATAATGCTCGACAAAGCATATTCGTTATCCCCATAATCTTGTGCATAAGATGCAATATGAATATGAAATCGAAGGATTTCATTTCCATTAAAGAACCACCAATTTTTCCACGAATTGTATTTGAAGATCCTTCGTTAACTATACATTTAAACACACTAATGATAGCATCATACATATCTATCAGACCACAAATGGATTCAAAATGTGAGCTCCAACGAGTAGTACCAGCTCGATGCAAAGTACCCATCTGATTAGCCCCTTTACCAGTCTCTCGTTCACCAATAGCTATCCCCCTTTCAATCTCAGTAGCTTGGGCAGATCGCAACTCTGTATAATGCTTAGGAGAAGCACTAATAAGATTGACAATGCATGTCAATTTGGAAAAGAATTGCCATATTGAAATCTTATCTTCAACAGTTGCAACTAATGCAAGTTGTAAACGATGAGCAGAGCAATGAACATAGTATGCATACTCATAATCATTGCGGAACAAAGCTTACAATCCATTAAATGCATCACGCATGTTGCTAGCACCATCATATCCCTGACCTTATAAATCTCGAATGTGCAAATTGTGTCGAGTAAGAACTTTCAATATTTTCTTCTTAAGAGTTAAAGAAGTGATATCTTTAACATGTACAATCTCAAAAAATATCTCCTTCAAAAAACCCTGAGCATCAACAAATCTCAGAACAATTGTCATAAGTTCTTTATTTGATACATCATTTGCTTCATCAACCAAAATACAAAACTTGGCATTTCCAACTTCTTCACAGATTTTTTCTCTTACTTTAGTAGTTAGAATATGCAGAATATCTTTTTGGATCATAGGAGACTTATACTTTGCATTTTCTGGAGCTTTCTCTAAGACAACATCATTTATCTCAATATTCAACTTTGCCATCAAACTAATCATCTCAATTTAGGGATGTCAGTGGACCGAATCGGGCACGAGGGGTGTAGTCTCCATCCACGTATCCACTTAAAAAAACTCCGTTCATCCCCGGTCCACCCCCATTAATGGGTATAATTTTTATTTTCATCCCCATCCATGAATAAATATCTAATCCCCACCCCCGTCTCTACTTCCCCCGTACTCGCCCAAGCCCAAAATTAAACTCAAGTCCAAGCCAAGCTCAAGTTAATATAATCTAAAATTCTAAATAAATCCAACATTTTAAATAATCCAACAATATTTTAAATAATCTAACATAATTTAACACAACATAATGTAGAATAACACCCCAAACATATAAAAAACCCAAATGATAAAAAAATACAAGAAGGTCCCCGACTACTTATACATTACCATGCTCTTTCAAAATTTTGCAACTCTTTAAAATTCTTCACCATCATTTGTACAAAGCTAGCCACTACCCTACTGTCTCCAATCATGAACAGTTATCTAACTTGGAATCCATAAAGAACAACATGCAAACAACTAACCATGCCTTAATTTTGATAATATAATAAAATTTACTTTTCAACTTCATTCAAAAATTATATATTATTCTCAAACTTCACAAGCAAACCCCCACCCAAGCACATGAAAAAGGACAAAAGCATAAAAGAACTAAGAGAAGGGCTCCCCAGACCATCTCAACATAACACAAATAACAAATGTCCACAATATTACTTGAATATTTGTAATGGAGAAACTTTTTTGTCATGTAGCTTCACACCTGTAATTTAATAAAGACAATAAAACATAAAAAACTATATGTTTTAACGGGTATAACGGGTGCGGGGCGGGGGTAAGGGTAAGTCCATCCCCGCCTTCATCCCTGCATGGATTTATACAGATATCCCCCGTATATGTCCACCGTCCAATACGTATAGTCCATCCCCGGTCCAAACGGGGTGGGTTTGGACAAATACCCGTTTTCTCCTGGTCCACTGTCATCTCTATCTCAATTAGATTACCACGGTTCTTTGATATTACAGATTCATCACGACCTCTCAAGGCATATCCTTGTAAAGTAAGCCATTATAGCCTTAAGACTCAATTGATTTCTCTTTATTTCTTCTGAATTTTGAACATTCATAACTTTATCAATGTGCACTAATATATTCTTCAACGCCTCAACATTTCTCATAGCATTATTATGTGTGGAAGCAAGACCTCCCATATGTGACAAGAAAACACATTTGACCCCATTATTCACTCTCTTCCAGTTACTAAAACCATCAACGGTAAATGCAAGATGTAGAGGTTCATGACCTTGAAAAACATAGCACGGAAAGCAAAATTTTGCATTTTTTGAAATAGAATACTCTAGCCATGAAAATTTTTTATACCAACTTTCCTAAAATCTTCGATTTTGAACTCTAGTTTTAGTCCTCGGATACTCAGCT